AGAAGAGAAGAGAAGAGAAGAGAAGAGAAGAGAAGAGAAGAGAAGAGAAGAGAAGAGAAGAGAAGAGAAGAGAAGAGAAGAGAAGAGAGAAAAAAAGAAAACCAACTCTCCCTTTCCCAGAAGTCATCAGCTGTCAATAGCTCCTCAGCTGGAGGCTCCTGGGCAGGCATGTGTGCATCTCCACTCCATGCAGTATCCAGCAATCTTGAAATGATTATCTGTGGATTCCTAGATTTTTCCTAATGCATGCAACCAAATCACTTTCCAACCACAGTACTTTTCTTTCCTTTCATCCTCTACACATTGTAGCTCTTGGGTTAGGGATATCTCTTAGCATGCACAAGGCCCTGGGTTTGATCTATTGTACTAAGAGTATAGAACAATGTTAAAATACTCATTTTTTTATTCTAAGTAGCTTTGTGATTGTCTTCAATATCTCACAATTTGGTGTTACATTTAGTACATTTAGTATATTGATAAATACCCTTTATTAATAGTATACCTTTAATTTACAAGTCCCCAATGCCTTGATTGCATTCTAAAGTTCATCAAAGGCCTTTCTTTTTTTATTGATGGCTCTTCCCTTTGACCTGCAGTCAGGGAAAATTCTGACCACATCATGATGTTTTAAAAATATGTTGTTGAATTTGGTTTAATGATTTTGTCTAAGGATGCGGCATCTGAATTTATGAGTGAGAGTGGCCTGTCAGTTCACCACCACCACCACCCCCGACTCGTTGTCAGCTTTGGAGGGTTGTTGTTTTTGTTGTTGTTCACTTTGTGGGGTTTTTTTTTTAGTTTTTTTTTGTTTGTTTGTTTGTTTTGGTTTTGGTTTTTTAGTCAGATTATTCCAGACACACAAAGTAAGTAACTGATTCCCTTTGTATATTTTGGAGTAAAATGTGCCCAGTCTGGATTATAACTTCCGTGTGTGAAAGATTCTTTAGTTAAAATAATCTATTCCTCAAGTTTTCCTTGTAGGAAAATGTCTTAGCTACTGGCTCAGTGTCTTTAGATTAAAAATGCAACTTGAGAAGATTTGACCACCTCTCCATATAATATGAGACATATGAACACTAAAGGATTTAAATTCTTTTATCCTCCCCTCTTGTGACACATTTAATAGCCATCTAAGGCAACCCCATGCCAGGACACCTGTGTCACAAGGGGCTCTGGTTACACTGAGAACGGGAGGCAGGTGAGGGCCAAGTGTTCCCTTGGCTAGACCAGCTGCTCCCCATCACTGCCATACGGCTTCTCGTCGTTCTGTGTCTTCACACCTGATGCCACAGTGGTTATGAGAAATATAGGCGGCTTTCCCTTCACAGTGACACCAGGCTATCCCCCGTGCAAGGCACACCTGACTCACTCCGAAGACACAGCTTCATAGGAAACGTCCACGCCCAGATCTTCTCCGAGAGCTATCTAACGTTGTTCCTCTGCACACCCAGCATGGTACTGGAGACTGCTTTCACTTCACACAAATTATCCCGTGTGTTGCACATTTCAGGAGGTTGGGACCCGATCAGCTCATCCGGTCTTCTATCCCTCTGCTGTGTTCTGTTGCCAGAGCCCATAATTACCATAAAACAGGTTGATTTCAGGCCGGGCTCTGCTGGGAAATGACATCGTGAATTCTTATTGGCACTTTGAAGAGAACATATTCTTCTCTGATTATTGTGCTCTTGCACTAAAATATTGAGAAATAGACTTTCCATATGTAGTATAAGAAAAACAGCTAAAACTTAAGATGTATTCCCATTGCCCATAATTTTTATTAGCTTTTTAAGAAAGCTCGGTGCCCATCAGACCCCGCTCTTGTTATTTTTATTGATGTCGTATAGACAATCCATAATCAAAACCATTGGCAAAA